CTCGGTGTGGTGGTGCAGACCTTTAATCCCTGCACTAGAGAGGCAGAGGCAGATCTCTGTGAGTTTGAGGCCAGCCTGGTCTATTTATCAAGTTCCAGGCCAGCCCAGCTGGGCCTACAAACAGACCCTTCAAAAAAAGGAAGGAAGGAAGGAAGGAAGGAAGGAAGGAAGGAAGGAAGGAAGGAAGGAAGGAAGAGGGACCAAGCTGAGTTGAATCCCCAGGAAGGAAGGAAGGAAGGAAGGAAGGAAGGAAGGAAAGAAAAAGTCAGGGAGTGCTGAGATAAGGTTCAAATGTAGGCATGACTGAGATTTGCTATTTGTACAGGTAAAACAGCATGCTAGTGAGATGAACAGCAAGAGTGAAGGTCCTGCATAGCAGAATGGACAATCTATTTGATCTTTACCAGTACTTATTCATTGGGATTGAATAACACTGTTCTGAAACATTTGGAAATGTGAGGGGCAGATATCTTGAGTTTTCACACTGACATGTTTAGGATTGAACAGGAGTAGAGGGTAGGATGGGGCACTAACCTCATTCTCAGGAAAAGTTCAAATAATAAAGAATTCAAAGAACTGTTCTGCTCAAAATACAACATTTTTTGCTAGGCATTAAAGTATTTTTGGTTTTGCTTTCAAATTCCACTTATATAGTAGATATTTGGGTTAAGATATAATTTTGTTGTAAGATTACATAATGATTTGTGGCAAAATACAACAAAATTATTTTAGATATAGTTTATCTTAACCCAAATATCTACTTTATGATGTGTGTGTGTGTGTGTGTCCCTCCTGTGCTGAAGCCTAACCTTGGGTCCTGAGCATGCTAAGCAAGGGTTCTACAGCTGAGCTACATGACCACCCCCTCAACTATACACTTTCTATACAGTTCACCTAATTTCATGTGTGATATAGAATAGGTCAGTTCAAGAATTTGCACATTCCACAACTTTCACTCAAACTGTACATAAACACCTTGAAGGGAAAGTGATATACCTCGGTCATGAAATCTATCAGGAAATCATTTCCAATTCTAATGTGGTGGGATTCCTCATTCCCCCCACTTACTCTGACAATTATTTTAAGACCGGCTCAAAAGATATCTCCTCCCATCATTCCCAGCTTTTCACTCATCAGTACTGCCAGAGCAACATAACTTCCTCTCCAAAACTGTACCTACCAAAGCCAAATGTGGTGATGCATGCCTGTGATTCCATCACTCAAGAGGCTGAGACACGTTACTGAGTTGGGAGTCCAGCCTTGACTACATAATGAGACCTTGTCTCAAAAACAAAATCAGATATATCATGAAGACTTTCTCATGTGTCTATCCAAAACTAAGCTATATGCTCTTTCTGGATAACAATTAGATATTACCCACCAATCTTTGTATCATTAGTACCCAGTATAGCGTCTGGTGTCCAGCAGGTGTTCAATTGATTGTAGAGCGTGAACTCCAAGTGAAATCACAACAAATAAACAAAACAGCATAAGATTTTAAAAACAAAAAAACACTAGAAGGCTTCTGCATGAGCTGGATTAAAGCACTTAAGGAGTCAGAAGCCTGACGGAAAGAGAAATCGCTTAAAGATTCAGAAGTATGCTGAGACATACCAACTTCATTGCTATAGAGGCAATACTGTCTACAAGCAAGGCAAGCGCAACCGTTCTTGTGGTCTTTTCCAACACTAAGAAAAAGACCCACACGTCCCGCTGCCCTCCCCCAAATCAGGGAGAGCTCAATTGAAGTGCCCGGGTACCGCAGGTGAGACTCTCACCTTCCCATTCGTAGGCGGCTCCTGTATGTAGATATTGCTCATCCTGGTCACTTTTCCGGACTCTGCTCCTTGGGGGCGGGATGCGAGCGAACAGCCGACCACTGAAGGTGTCCGCTTGTAGGTACACAATTTCTTAACCTGAGTAGTCGGGGGAAACTTCACTTGCTTAGTGTCCTGCAAAACAACCACACCAACAAATGTCTAATTCCAAGACTAGCCCTCACGGACGCCGCCATGTTGTTCCTGGACCCGAGCACCGCTAACCCCGAGAGGGGGAAGTTTCCCTGTTCCTCAGAGAGCTAGGAAAGATTATAAGGTTCTGTACTTTAGCAGAATTTGTCCTGTGATTTTTAATAATATTTCAGGGAACAACCCGTAAAACCCAGTGGTGCGTCCACTCCAGGTGTGCGCAGGTCTCACTCACCTCCGGAGAGTGGCAGTAATGGTTCCGACCATGTGTGTGTCTGCGATAGGATTCCTCTAGAAACTGCATCCACAGCGACTTGGTTCTGCCATTCCTAGAACCCGTCGGGCCTTCCCCTGCAGTGTAGAAGTTGCCACCGCGCGGGTGGAAGAGGGCTCTCTTCGGTGGTGGTGGGTTGTCTTCTCAGCGGACGGGAACAAAACGAATCTTCCAACGCTCAGGGCTCCGGCGACCCCTCTTCCCTGCGTCATGGCAGTCCCAGGTGAAGATGAGCAGCAGGGACCCGGCATCCCAGAGGAAAGGAGAGGGTAGGGTGGTCCAGGGCGTGGGGAGGTAGGGAACCCTTGTGGATTCAGGTGACACCTTAAAATGTACAGATTCGTCTTGTTTCCATGGGAAAGTTTACACTACAAGTCTGAATGGGAAAAAGGAAAAAAAAAAAAACTATCTCGCCCCTAGCCAAGCCCCATAGGTTTATAGGGACCATGTAGGAGAGAGAGAGGACTAAACTCTGGGCCTACCGGGGCAGGCGACCCAAGAGAACTGACCGTAACTTTCAGAGTGCTTAAAAATAAAATTTGAAATGTCAACATTTGGCGGATCCGGTGTACTAGACCTAATGCCTAATCCGGACCTAATGCCTGGAGTTCATTCTAGCCCTTCCTGTTTGTAGTTCAGTGTGACTGTATAGGCCGGGTGCTGTGCCCTCCTGGGCCTTGGTTTCCTTGTCTGTAAAAGGAACTTCGTTAAATTATATGAGACTCTTTCCAAGTCTTAAATTCTGTTGTCCAGAGGTTACTAAACCTAGAAACAGCAGACTATGGAATAAGTGCTCAGAGATGTTTGTGTGGGCTACTCCAGCTTTCTGGGAAGTCCAGGAGTGTCAAGAACCTCCCCAAGTCAGTGTTCTGATTATGAGTTTCTGCAGAACCCTGTTTGTATATGTTTTAAGAGTTACATCCACCTCCCATCTTGGAGACTCACAATACACTAACAGGAAAGATTCAGAGAAGTGTGTTTCAGTAGCCCCAACTTTGCTTAAAACTGCCCTTCCTGGTATCAGATCGCTGTCTTTGTTCTGTGGCAGCCTTTTCTGAACCTTATTTTTCAGATAACTGTTAAGGGGAGGCTTGTCTAACTTCTGTAGTTTGGGAAGGAGCACATCTAGAAGTGGGAGTACACTCACTGGTAGTGGATGTACACTCACTCTTTATTAAGTGTGTTGGAAATATTGTAGTGAGCATCACAGACACCCTTGCTCTCTGCACAGAGCTTACACCACTGAGTAAAATAGTAAGGGCATCTAACAAGATATAGAGGGTTCCAGATGAGACCTTGATAGAGAGTCTGGAGCGTAGACTGCAAGAAAGGGCTGGATATGTAAAGGATGAAGAATTGGGTAAGAAGAGGAAATGAGAGAAATTTAGCATGGCTAGCCTTCAGTATACCAATATGAGTGAGAAATCAACCAAAGAGACAATGGCAGTAACTAATGATTACTATGTATCAAATGTCTCAGATACTGTGGCAGACATTGTATTTCATCTCCTTTCACTTTCACAACCACTGCTGTGACACAGGTATTAATATTCCCTTTCCACAGATGAAGAAACTGAGGGACAGAGAAGTAGAACAACTTACCTATTAGAAGAGCTAGTGGCAAGTGAGTTTGATTTCGCTCCACTGTGTTTGTGAATGCATTTTGCCACACTATAGGGTGACATAACAAGCAATTTCCTGCTGTTGAAAGACCTTACAAGCAAGGGCAAGGAGTTTGGATACTATCTAAGAGCTAGAAGGAAGCTGCTTAAGGGCTTTTTAAAAATTCATATTTTGAGAAATCATGCTGATTGTACAGTAACCTGGAAGAGAATTCATTTAGAAGCACAGAGAATGGCTAAGTTGATTCTGGTGAATTATCATGATGCCTGACAGGCATGTGGTCTCATTAGAAGAGATGCAGTTAGGTTAAAGATATATAAATTTTTTGGTGGTAGGATCACTAGGAATTGATGATTGATTGGAAAAGGAAATGAAGTTCACGTGGGTCTTGCTAGTTGCATGAGCCTTGTTGCTGATAAGACACAGCCCAAGAAGCAAGGTTTAGGGAACTGATGAGAAGTTTAATTTGGAGCTTGTGTTGAGATTAGTCACACACAGGAATGGAAATATCTAATAGATGCACGAGAATAAATTTATCTTAGGTAAGAAGTCAGAGTCAAAAACCACAAACATAATAGTAATTAGGCCATGAGAGTGAGTGACTGCACAGTTACAGTGTTGTAGTGTGTGGAGGGAAGATATAAGGGGGCAGCAGAGAAAGACAAGCTGCACAGTAGCTTGCCTAGGCATCCTCGTGGACCAAATCAGTTCTGGTGACCTCAGCATCACACAGCTGCATCCAGAGTTAGCCAGCTGTTGCTGTTATTACTTACTTAAGTTTTCTGAGACCCATGTAGAGTGGGCACAGTGAGGAACACAAGGTGACAGTCTGTTTTCTTGTAAAATCTTAGTAATGAAAGTGCACAACTTAAGAAAAAAGACAAAGTGATTTTTTTTTTTTTAGATAGCTCTGTTTTGGAGCTTCTTAAACTGAGACCAGTGTTAAAAATATGTTAACCTTTCAATTCAAAATAATGCTTCAAAGTAAAATAATAAATTGTGTCATTTAAGCTGCATAGCAGACTTAGATACACAGCTTAAACCCACCACACATCAAGATAATAGGCATGACAGGTGGTGTAGGAGCACAATGCAAGTGCCTTTAGAAAATACAGACACAGAAGATGTTAAGATAATTTCTTGGATGATTGATCAGACAGTGTTAAAGGAAAATAAGGCTCCATTGAAATCTTTTGAGGTCATCATTGAGGAGGACAAGTATTATGTGATGCGCCTTTATTTTACATGTAATGGATTCAGCTCGGCATTTCTTGAGGTGATTCTGCAGGTGATTATTATAACGTATAACTATAAAATAATGAGGCTGCTTTTAACAAACCACCATCCTTGTCTGTTTCGATGGTCACATGCTTTGATTGTTTTTTCCTTGGCATTGTATGGCGGCTTAAACCATTATGTAGGTAACAATGAGATACATTAGACTCTTAGAAAATCTTAGACACTTAGTTATTTGACAAATGGCATTTGAACATAGGTTTCAGTGAAGGTAACTTTTTTTGGAAAATTGCTTTGCCCATTTGCAGTTGTTCAAATTATCTAGGTTGTTGAAATCATGTTGGTGATTCACCATTTTCCACTAAGAGTTGACATGGCACAAGTGGCAGTATATGTTACTGGTGTGGTTGGCACAAAGTATCAATTAGGGAAGATGTCTTTTTTTTTTTTTTTTTTGGTCTCTCAGTGAAGTCTGTATGGCCAAAGTTAGGGATTGCAGTGGCTAAGTTAACATGTCAGTGTCACATGTCTACAATGAATAAGACCCTTAAGCACATTACCAAGGAGCTCAGTAATATAGGAATACAAAATTACACCACAGCCAGTTTCTCTTCATCTCTTCTTTGTTGTCCACACCCGACTCATCTTTCAGCTGAAAGTCTTTGCTGCCACTTTTTCATGCTTATTTACAAAAGTATGTGTTTTTTTTTTTTTTAATGATACCTGGCATGTACTGTTACAGCTATGCTTGGATTATGCTTGATAACCTAGTATAATGTAGCTTCTTGTCGTAAGGGCCTTTCTTTATTCATTTTTATGGCTCCTCTCACACTAGTTCATTAGTATACCCACTGTAGGTAAAGAAGACATTTACAGGATTTATAACTCATTGCTGATGAGCACAATCTAGGACTGGCTGTCTTGATTCTGTTTCACTAGATGATAAATTAAACTTCTTGTCACATGAATTTTGCCTACAATCCAGAAGGTGAGAACCTTCTGTGACTTCCAGGACTCCCCAATTGAGACTGCCTGATTTGGGGCAGGTCGGGGGACACAGGGATCAGGGTTGGAAGAGACCACAAGAACTGTCATTCTTCCCTTGCTTGTAGACAGTGCTGCATCTATAGCACTGAAATTGGTACATCTCAGTGTAATTTTAAAAAGCCTTAAGCAATTTCTCTAACTTGTTCCTCTAGCTTTTTTTTGGGGGGGGGGGGAATACAAGTTCTCACTATGTAGGCCTTGACTGTAGACCAGGCTGACCTCATACAGAGATATGCTTGTCCCCACCTCCCAAGTGCTGGGATTAAAGGCATGGGCCACCACACCTGGCACCCTCCAACTTCCTATTATGTAGCCCAGACTGACTTGGAACTCGGTGTGTAGCAAGACTCACATCACACTCTTGGCAACCCTCGTGCCTCAGCCTCCTGAGTACTAGGATTCCAGGCATGTGTCACCACACCCAGCTTAACTTTTTTCTTCACAGATCTTTTTTTGAAGCAGGTAGAAGGAAATGTTTTATGCATTTAATTATTTGTTCTTTCCTAGCAGTAGTTTAAGCCTCTCTGGCTGGTTTACTTTTATCCCTTTATGGGAAAAAGACACTTTAAACTAAACATTAGGATGTTTGCTGTTTCAAAATAGTTCCATCAAGAAATTCATTTAAAAAATAAAATTTAAGGCTCAGTAGCTGAGAGCACTGACTACTCTTGCAGAGGACATTAGCCCAGTGTATTAAATCTGTTTATTATATGAAGTTAAAAACTCAATAAATTGATACTCTGTTGAAAGATTCCCAAGTTCTATTAACTAAAGCTGTGCTAGAATAACCAAATGGAAAACTTGTTACAAAATAGCAAAGAAATCTAGTTCAATCTAACTGAGTCTCATCAAATTGAAAATGAAAAAAGTTGCATCCTGTGGTAAAGGTCATTGCTATTTCTTTCTAATGTCTTAATACAAAGAAAGTTTGGTTACTTTAACAGCTTACTTTTAAGTTTAAATGAAATGAATATAGAAAAATATTTCAATGTGGAGAAAAATTAACAGGTATCTTCACGTGCAAGGTAGATAGTAGCAACAGCACAGACCTGAATGCTGCTCATTGCTGTTCCAGTTCTCAATGGCTAAATTGCCCACTTTGAGTCTAGCATGGTGGTGTGTGCCTAAAATACTAGCACTGGGGAGCTAGAGGCAGGTAGATTGCCACAAGTTCAAGGCCAGCCTAATCTACATATAAATTACAGGCCAGCTAGTGCTAGAGAGCGAGGTTCTTTCTCAAAATCTATTAATTAATGAATTAATTGGTGATATGGGAAATCGTGGCAATATACATTGTAAGCAACTGCATTTAGATCAAACATGGTGTTTTCCCTTCCTCTCAGGGACACTGACCATCTAAGACAACTGTCAAGGACTGCCTATCTCTTCCTTTCACTTTTGCTCTGATCTTTTATCTCTACCCCCTCTTTTTAATTTTTTGAAACATTGTCTCACTATGTAGCTTAGGCTGGCCTGGAGCCTGTGATTCTCCTGCCTGGTCCTCCTGAGTTCTGAAATTACAAGCCAGATGTTTCCCCTTCCTTTTGTCATCTCTAATCCTTTTCCTTTTGTTTCCTGCTGTTGCTTTGTATAAATTTTCCTACTTTACTAAAATATAATTTACACTGGCTTAAAAGGTATGCAAATAAATATATATACACGTATATATGACTATAAAGGAAAAGAAAGAAGATAACTAAAATAAAATAAAATTTCCTTTTTATTATATAAATGGCAACATAAACACTCCATATCTTGCTTGCTTTCCTTTTTATCATATGTATTAGAGATGATCACATTTCATAAACACTGTCCTCAGTTTTTCATGCCACAATTTAGTCAGTCTTCTACTTATTCCACTTTTTTAGTTACATTGTTGCCATGAATAACTTTGTACGTAAGTGAACTTGCATTTGTGCAAGTCAATTGCATTAACTCCCGGATGTGGACATGCTGGACTAAAGCGTGAGACAGAGATGGCCCAGTACTAATTCACATCCTACCAGGCTTACCACAGTGTGCTCCCAATGCTTTCTGCAAACTTTCCTGTTTGTGTGACTCTGATAGGTGAAAATGGGATCCTAGTACAGTTTTTAATATACATTTCACTTGCAAATAAAACTGGGCATCTTTCCACATGTTCCAGAGTCATTCCTATTTCTTTTCCACTGTCTTGCCCATGTTTTTTCTCCCAGTGGTAAGTGGTCCTTTCCTTAGGATTTGCTGGTTTGATTTAACACAGTGGGACTCATTTCCCTCTGTTATTTCTATGAGTTGCAAATATTTTTCACAACTTATCAAGTGTCTTTCTTTTAAAATGTATTTGTGTATTTATTTAGTTTATTTTCTCTCTCTCTCTCTCTCTCTCTCTCTCTCTGTCTCTCTGTCTCTCTGTCTCTCTCTCTCTGTGTGTGTCTCTCTCTCTCTCTGTGTATGTTTGCTTGAATATATGTATATGTACCATGTGTGCAGGCAGTTAGTTGTGAGCCACAGTGTGTGTACTGGGAGCCCGGGTCCTCTAAAAAAGAAGCGAGTGCTCTTAACAGTTGAGCCATCAAGTATCTTTTTTGAGTTTGCATCTGGTGATTTTTCACCATTGAAGTGTGGCCCATGTCCTACTTTTCTGTGATGACATTTAGATAATAGGTTCTGTTTCAAAAGGAAAACTTCAAGGGGTCAGCTATATTACTCTGACCAACCTTAGCAAACCAGTGTTGAGGGCGCCACCTACAGCAAGAGACCTTGAATGAGAACGTGGAGAGCTTCCCTAGGTTGGAACTTCACACTATAGCCTTGCTGTTCAGATCGAATGGGATTTTGAGTACCATTTTTCCAGCCAGAGTTCTTGTTCTGAACAACAGAAAATTAGTAGTTAATTTAGGCAGAAAAGGAAAGGTTCCAAGGAGCTTACAGACTGAGAAAATCCTAGTTAACAGTACTTAGAAAACAGAAAAAAACAAGCAAACCCTTATCCAAGTGCACTGCCAGTACCCCCAGAAACAGGATTTTTTTAAAAACAGGTCTCATGTAGCCCAGGCTGGCCTCAGACTTACTATGTAGCCAAGGCTGACCCTGAACTCATTATCATCCTTCCTCTGCTTCCCAAATGTTGAGATTACAGACATGTGCCACCACGCTTAGCTAGAAACTAGATCTTGACAACAGAGTGAGCTACAGCCATCTGATTGTGTCACTTGCCTCAGAGCAGTGATGTCATTTCCTTGGATTCAGAGTCCCAAGCAAGAGCTTTCAAGTGGCCAGCAAGTCATGCAAATGAAGACAGATGAATCTGAGATCTTAATTTAGACAAAGGCTGGTGAGGAAATAGCTGGTGGGGACCTTACTTAGAGATCTAGTTATAGTTCCTTATCATAAAAAAGTTTCATGTTTGTTAAAGTAGATGAACTGAGCAGAAAAGTTTGGATGACAAATTTGTACCAGGGTCTGTTGTCCTAAGTGAATTCAGTTCTGATGCATGCTGAGATGAAACTCTTTCACATCTGTCACAGTTTTAGTCTGTTGGTGGAGCAACAATGGTGCATTTAGCAGTTTTGTTCAGTATTACTCAGCATCTGTGGTTTCTATGGAAACAAACTTAACACTGACCCATATTTTCTGAGCTTTTTTGTCAACATGCAGTTATTTTTATAATGGAGAAACCTCAGATAATATTAATTCAGTTTTATCCCAGTCAGTTCTGCTATACTGTGGCATGTGCGTTCCCATACGACAACACACCAAAACATGGAGTCTAAGAGGAAAAGGGATTGATGCTCAAAAAAATTCAGCATTGACTACTTTTTAAAAGTTAGGGACACGGGGGCTGGAGAGATGGCTCAGTGGTTAAGAGCTCATACTGTTCTTACAAGGAACAGGAGTTAAGTTCTCAGCACCCACATCAGGTGGCTCACAGCTGCCTTTAACTCTAGCTTTACAGGATCCAATGCCCATTTCTGGCCTCCATGGGTAACCACATACACATACACATGCAGAGGCACACACCACACACACACACACACACACACACATTAAAAATCCAAGCACCCACATGGCAGCTAACAACTGTCCGAAACTCCAGTTCCAGGGGATCTGACAGTCCCTTCTGTTCTCCACAGGCATTGCATGACACAGGTGCACTCACCTACATGCAGGTAATACACACGTACACATAAAATAAAAACAAAATATTTTTAAAACATAAAATAAATCTTTTTTTTTTAAGACAGGGTCTCACAGTAGAATCCTGGCAGGCCTGAAACTCCCTATATAGACCAGGCTGATCTCATTCACTGCCTCTGCCTTTGCTTCCCAAGTCTGCAAGTTTAAAGGTGTGCGTTACTATGCCCAGCAAGATTTTTTAATTTTTACTTAGGTGTATGTGTGTCTGTGTGAATGTATGCTACTTATGTGCAGGTTCCCACGAAGGCTAGATAGCGTCAGGTCCCCTGGAGGTAGAGTTGCAGGCTGTTGTGAGCCTTCCAATGTGGCTTCTGGGAACTGGACTCAGGTCCTCTGGAAGAGCAGTAAATACTGTTAACTGCTTAGTCAACCATTTCTCCAAACTCAAAAAATACATCTTAAAAAAAAAAGTGAGAACCTAATAGAAATAGCACAATTTTATGTTAATCTATTCTAAAATGTATAAATACTGTAAGATGACACTTAACTTTTAAAACCCATCCAATTTGAGGCAGAAGTGGGGTTCAAAAGAATTGCAGCTTGATGGCACCAGATGTGGTGGCACACACCTTTAATCCCAGCACCTGGGAGGCAGAGGCAGGTGGGTCTCTGTGAGATGTAGGCCCCCCTGGTCTACATAGTGACCAGCCGGGGCTACAGTGTGACTGTGTCTCAAAAAAAAACAAAAAAGGAAGACAAAACAAAAGAATTGAAATTTGTGAATTCTTTATAAGGAGATAGAAGGAAGGTGGTGACCTCACTGAAAAGTTCTAGCACCAGATGTGATGGAGCAGCCTCACTCACAGGTGAGTGAGGGCCCTGAGAATGCTTCCAGCATGCACTGTGCTTTGTGAACTCCTGGGAGGCTCAGATGTCAGCTGGATGCAGCTTTCTGTATTCAGTTGTTCATGGATGCAAGGAACACTCTGCTCAGGTTATGTGTCAGCTGCAGTAGAGCAACATTTGCACTTTTAAACAAGTCTTAATCGTAAGACTGTTTACTAGAACAACTCATTGAGCATATTTTAGGGGAAAATTGGGATTATGGAGAAATAACAATATTTAACTTCATAGAGTTAAAGAAATCTTTTATGTATATTTACTCTGTGTGTTTGTGTGTGTGTGCATGCATGCGTGTGCTCAGGCATGTGCATACATCTTAAGGCACATGTATGGAGGACAGAGGACAACTTATGGGGTCCAACGATTGAACTCAGCTCATCAGATTTGGCATCAAGTGCCTTCACCTGCTGAGCCACCTTACTGGCTCAAAAAGTGACCCCATTTTGAAATTATTTTCTTTTTAAATTACTACTATTTTCTACTTCCTCTCAATTTTACTATTGTCTTCTCATAGCATGATTAACTCCATTTCAAGGATTTAGAAGTTAGACATCCTTCCTGAAAGAAATGAAATAATGCTGTGCTGAGCCTCTTTGCTTCATTGAAACTGCTATTGGAGGTTAAAATTACTTTTAATGGTGCATGCATATAGTGGAACATTCAGCCATAAAAAGGAATACAATTCCAATACATGCTATAATATGGATAATTCTTAAAAACATTCTGTCACTTTAAAAAGGACACACTTTTTTGATTTCCTCAAATATATGACAAATTCTTAGAGACAGAAAGTAGAATACAGACCTGTGATTGCAGGTGTGTAGTGGGTGTAATTGCCCTTTTCAGGTCAAGGATGAAAATATTTTAGTAATAAGCCATGGTTGATGACTGTACAACATTGTGCATATACTCAGTGCTACTGAATTGTACATTTAAAATGGCTAAAATGCAAAGTTTGATATTATGTGTATTATATCGCAATTTTAGAAACCAGTTTTAATTTATTTCATTCTGGTGTCTATAGCTTCAGGATTTCCTACATGCACTGTCTACACAGGAATACTATGGGTACTTATAAACACTTATTAGAAATATATGTATGACTAGTTTCTACTTCTCAAAGTCTGAGTGTTGAATTTAACTGTTTTTGATGATACCTAACAATTACAGTGAATTTTATGGAATTTCACTAATTCCTTTGAGAGAGGTAAAATTAATTTTCTTCTCCTGAAAAGGAGGAAAACATGTTTTAAACCTCAGTGTTCACATGTTATGCGACAAATTAATTACCTTTCATGTATAGGTCATAGTATCCTGGAATTTATTCCTCAGTGTTGTGGAATTCCTGAATATTTAAGCTCTCAACAATAATACTGTATTTCTATTGAATTAAGAAAAAAATATTCTTTAAATATTTGTCAAATAATTTGGATAAATTTACTTTCAGTAATTTGACTATTAAGAGTCAGAATAATTAAGTAACAATAACTAAAATTCATTAGAGATCATTTTTTGTTTTTCTTTTCAAGAAATTTTACAACAAATTTTTAGACTTTTTTTCATATGATATTCTTTATGTTTTTACTTGCACATATTTCCTAAAATGTTATCCTATTGTATTTCAGGTTGCAACAAGGACAGTGTCAGAGCAGGCTGCAAGAAGTGTGGCTACCGTAAGTACCCTAAAAATGTGGCTACCATAAGTATCCTAAAATATGCGGCTGCTGTAAGCACACTAAAAAGCAGTGCCCTATGTATTGCACTATATGTTTGATATATGTTCACCTATATACCATTATCCTTCTGAATGCTAAATGCATTGAAAACTATTTTGAATGTCTTCCATGTTTGCTGAATTTATCCCTTTGTGTAAGGGTTTGGTTGGTCCCAGAATTTTTGATTATGTACAAAAAAATTCATTTAAATAGTGATTAGTCTCCACTATGATTAATATACTAGAATTAAAAGGTAGACCTAAGAATGTGTAATTTCATACAATATTACATTTTTTAAATATTTTTTATTTATTTTATGTGTATGAGTGTATTGCCTGCATGTATGTGAGTGCAACCATGTCATGCAATGCCGTGGAGATCAGAAGAGAGCTTTGGATTCCCCTGGAACTGGAGTTAAGGATGAAATGTAGCCATTGTGTGGGTGCTGGGAATCGAACCCAGGTCCTCTGCAAGAGCAGTCAATACTCTTAACTGCTGAGCCATCTCTCCAGCCCCTATTACGTGATTTTTATAGTGTAAATAAGCATCATTCCTCAAGTTAACTGTAACAGTGCCTAAGACTTTTCAAACAGCAAGTTTGAAGACCATGAAAATTACACTGGATTGTTAAGAATATTCCAACTCATTAAAGAATTATTTTTTAACAAAATACAATGATTTAACAAAAAGATTTCCATGCAACAATGTGGACTGAAGAGCATGCAGTATAAATCCTCACCAGAGGGCAGAGTAAAAGGATCAGGATAGCAAGTTCCATGCTTGCAAGCAAAGGCTCTCATGTGTTTAGGGGAAGCTTGCTAAAGTTGCAGAATTTGGTGTACAAGATTGTCCATCTTGTCAGGCATGGCTTTGTATTACTGTTTCAATTTCCTTATATGTTATGGGTCTGTTTAAACTGTTGATCTCATCTTGGTTTAACTTTGGTGGGTCCCATGATTTCAGATATCCATCCATTTCCTTTAGATATTCAGATTTAGTAGCATATAGGTTTTTTAAATATTCCTTTATAATGGTCTGGATCTTTTTGGTGTCCATTGTGATGTTTCCTCTTTAATCTCTGATTTCATTGATTTGAATTTGCTCTTTCTTTCTTTTGGTTAACTGGGCTAACCTATCTTGTTTAGCTTTTTCAAAGAACCATTTCTTAGATTCATTGATTCTTTGTATTGTTTTCTTTGTTTCTATTTCTGCTCTGATTTTTGCTATTTCTTCTCTTCTGCTGGGTTTGGGTTTCATTTGTTCTTGCTTCTCCAGGGCCTTGAGTTGCAGTGTTAGGTCATTAATTTGGGCTCTTTCTAATTTTTCAATGTAGGCACTTAGAGCTGTAAACTTCCCTCATGGTACTGCTTTTAATGTGTCCCAGAGGTTGTGTTGTGTTGTATTGTCCTTTTCGTTGAATTCCAGGAATTCTCTTCTTTCTTTCTTAATTTCTCCTTTGACCCACTCATTGTTTAGGAATATGTTATTCAATTACCACGAGTTCGTTTTCTTTTTAAAAGCAGTTTTAGCAGTTTTAATCAATAATGGACTTTGTCCAATGTGGAAGAAACAAGTTTTAGCACCACAGAAACCAAAGGAGTAAAGATCTTCAAAACTGAGAGGAAGTTAGGTAAGATTTTTTTTTTAATGGATTCAAGAGCATGAATTGGATTTGGCAAGTAGGATACTTTTCTAACTTTTGAGAGATTGGATTGAGGAAAGTTGTACATTATGAAAGAATTTTGTAGACTCTGGCCTGAAAGAAAAGGTAAAGCCAGGGGTGAGGACACAAGCCTGTAATCCTAGCTCTTTGGAAGCTGAGCCAGGACTGAGAATTCAAGGCCAGCCTGGACTAGATGAGAGGCCTTGTCTCAAACAACAAAAACAGAGAATTTCAATGTAGTAACATGAGAAGAAAAGTAGGAACTATTTAATAGTAGTAAAAAGGAGTATGGATAAATACAGGTTTGTTTTTTGTGTAAGATATAAAATGTTTATATAGACTTAAAATGCCAAAGGATATTTTGCAGGTACAGAAAAAGATTAATCAAGTTCCCTTGAGGGGAGGATCCAACAAGGCTACCGCCCAAGTATGGAGACACTAAGTCACTAATTCAGTTGGTTTTTGAGTGTCTTTAGATGTGGAGGCAGAAAGTAGGAGATACTGCTGGGGTCTCTGTTTTCTTGGTAAATTGGGAGGTGGAATTGTCTCTGCAGGGAAATAGGATTGAGATGAAGAATGTCTTAAGTCAGGGAAGGTCACTGAGGGAAATCTGAAGGGAAGTGGATTAAAGATAAATGAAAAGTGAGGGGACCCATTTGTATAAGCCAGTATGCATGAATGTATAGTTCTCAAACACTGCTTGACTACTCAGGGTACAAAGAGAGAAATTAGAACTTTGAGCCAGGTTAGATATATTGTAGCAAAATATGATAGATGAACAGGGTTATGAAAGAGTCAAACACAAGGGACTGGAGAGATGGCTCAGCAGTTAAGGGCACTGGCTGCTCTTGCAGAGGACTAGGTACAGTTCCCAGCACCCACATGATGGCTAACAACCATCCTAACTCCAAATCTAGAGAATCCAATGCCTTCTGACCTCCATGGGCATTGCATGACATGGATGCACTTACATTCATGCAGGCAATACACTCATACACATAAAATAAAAATAATAAATAAAATATTTTTTGAAAAAAAATGAAACACAAGAGTTCTTCAGATGGAGAAGATAAAGGAATTTTAAGGCCTGAAGGAGTGACACTCAAGAGCCGATCTATGTATGGTACAGAGGAGTGAGAAGAAAACTAAAAGGTTCAAAGACATGGCCAGAGTGTAGTATTGGGGTTAACATTTCAGAGATGCAGTTGTTGCAGTGTGACCAGGGAGTCTAAAATGTCAAGGAACTGAGGGAAGCAGTCCCATCAGCCTAGGTTAGACTGTCCATCCAACCTTACTATGTGGTTTAGTGTAAAGGTCAAGACCTCACTGAATGGGGCTATTCAACCACAGCTAGTACCTGAGTGAAGAACTTTGTCCTGAAGCCTGGAGGGCACAAATTATACCAAAGTAAAATCTGAGTAGCTTTAGAGACATGCCGTCAATGAAGAGCCATATATCTAAATGAATCTTAGAGAAGGTATTCTGCAGATAGGTAGAGCAGTTCTTCCAGCTTGGCAGGGATTATATATTTCAGAAGCTGTAATTAAAAGAATGGGAGAGAAGGAGGATGATAGTGAGGTCAGGAACAGAAACAGATATGTAGCTGAGCCTTCACACATAGGTATGTGACTACAAGGCCCCAGATGATAGGAGCATGAAGCTGGTGTGATCTGGGCTTAAGAATTCAAAAGCTTATAAAATAGCTTCTGTGTTCTCAAATTTAGATTTTAGGCAGAGCCAAATCTTGATTAAGTTAGCAGTTAGCATAGTCTATATATTGTCCAAGCTAAAAAGTAGGCATTTGAGTACCTTACTTGTGAAGCAGGAGTTTTTTTAATCTGTACTGTCAAAATGAAACTAGTTACTGCCAAGGTGCCTACATGGCTGCTCCTGGAGCAGAGAGAGAATGAATATACTTCTGCTTCTGTTGGTGTAATGAGTGGCTATAACCTGCTGGTACCCTCTATTAAATACCTATTTGGTGTTCAACTATGTGGTAAGCACTTTAATGATATAGTTTTACTGCATTTCATTCTTTTAAAACACTTTTATGGAGAAGGTTTCTTGGTCTTGCTCTTTGTGAACATTCACTTGGGGTGATTCTGGCAACAGATCGCTTTGGTGCAAAGCTCAGCTAGTGCTTATAGCTGAGTGACAGTGGGCAGATTGCTTAGCCATTCTGTGCTTCAGTTTTCTGTCTGTAAAATGAGATTACAGTATCTAATCCCAGAGAGACTGCTGTGAAGATTAAATGAATTCACGTAAGAAAAGGCGTTAGATCAATGGCTGACCATAGTGAGTCCTCGATAGCTGGTGTGGGTTGTGATTGCTACATTTTAGAACACTGAGGCTCAGGGCTATTCTGTTGCTAACTGGAAAAACTGGAATTTGAACTCTGGTTATCAGTATGATTTTATACTGTACCATGCTCTTTTTTGTTTTATTTTCCATTACGGTATATATTGCAAACCATGCTATCTTAGCCATTTTTAAGGATGCCATTCAGAGCATTAATTATCTTCACAATTCTGGGCAACCAGCACCACTTTCTATTCCAAATCAATTTGTAATCTTAAATAAAATCTCCATCTGCTGGATAGTAACTTTCCCCCCTTTCTTTCCTTAGTCCATGGCAATTTCTGTCTCTGCCAATCTCCCTACTTAAGATATTTCATGCAGAAAGAATCATATAATATTTGTCTTGTGTCTGACTTATTCCCCTAGCAAAATGTTTCAAAGTTAATTCATGTTGTAGTGTGTACATGTCCTAACATTCTTGTTTATGGTAGAATGGTGTTCCATTGTGTTGATATACCACCTTCTCTTTATCCATTCATACGTTGACAGATATTTGGTTGTTGCTACCCTTGGGCAGTTTGAATAGTGCTACAGTGAACATGGATGAGTCCCTGCTTTTAATTATTTTAGGAATATTCTTAGGCATGAAATTATTGGGTTATCTTTTGAAAAGTCACTGAACTATTTTCCATAGTGGCTATACCATTTTATATTCCTGTCAGAAGAAAAAAGTGGATTCCATTTCTCCACATCTTTACCAACATTTATTTTTTCAATTAAAAAATTATAGCTTTCTGTGATAATCAAAAATGTGTATTTAGCCAGGTATGGTGGGTTCATGTCTTTAATCTCAGCACTTTGGGAGGCAGAGGCAGCTGGATCTCTGTGAGATTGAAGCCAGCCTTGTCTACAGATCAAGTTCTAGGTCAGCTAGGGCTACAGGAGACCCTGTCTTAAAAAAACAAACAAAAACCCACAAATCATTGTCCTTGTAAAC